CCATAAAGCTGGTTGTAGCCCCTGAGTCCACCAACGCAACAGCGGGAATTCCCTCCTTCTGTGACTGTAGAAAAATTCGAGTGTCCAAAAGTAAATGCCGAGGAGGGCCAGGATTTACTTCAGCAATTTGAGGTGGGGATGTGAAATGTGTCCGACCTAGGGTTTCCTTGAGGTCAGGTCTACCCTGTTTTCCTGACGAGCCAAGAGTGATTTCAGGTACGGGTCTGTGGGTCCCTCTCCATTTGCAGGAATTAACAAAATGTCCCAGACCCCCGCAATAAAGGCACAAGCCTTCCTGGAACCTTCTCGAACGTTCTCGCACCGTTAAGCGAGGGCGGAGTGCGCCTAACTCCATCGGCTCCTCAACATTAACCGTGGGTTGGAAAACTCTCGGTGGCATGGGTTGTGCACGAGAAAACGAAGATGGTTCCATACCGAGCCGTTTGCATCCACGTTGCTATAAACGAGCTTCAATTCGTAAGCACTGAACTATCAATGCATCCAAAGTTAAAGCCCTCTCTGCATGGACCAGCTCATCTTTGATGGCATCAGACAAGCCTTCCTGGAATGCAGCCATATGAGCCGGTTCGTTCCAGTTGGAATCCAAACACAGCAAACGAAATTCTGCAACGTATTCCTGCAGGGAACATTTCCCCTGATTAATGTCCCATAACCGTCTGTCCACAGTTTGTATCTTAATTGGGTTCTCAAACATCACTCTCATTTGTTGAAGAAAACCCTGGAAATCATTTAACAACGGGCTATCTTGAACTAACAAGGGAGTAGCCCAATTAGCAGCCTGCCCAGATAAAAGGCTAAAAATAAATCCTGTCTTGGCCCGATCATTTGGAAAGTTTTCAGGCCTCAAGGACATAAATAATTGACACTGCCCCAGAAATGCCGGAAACATGTCCATTTGTCCTGAAAATTTCTCCAGCATGGATACTGGGCTTTTCCTCTCAGGAGGGGCAGGGGGAACAACAGCAGGGCTTGGTAAGCTGGAAACATAATTCAGCAATTGTGTTACCTGATTCTGAAGCGTCACATTGCTTTGCAGTAGCTGATTAATTTGTTGTTGTTGCTGCTTTACCAAACGCTGCAGTTGATTTAAATCCATCTTGCTTGAAAGATGGTTTGTTTGGGCCAGGAACAATAATGTTATGTCTCCTCTTGGAAATTCAAACGAACAAACAGAAAGCAGCCATTTCACAATCAAATCAAACTGAAGGAAATAACAAGATAACGGCTGGCAGAAACTGTTAGGACTCCCCTTCGAAATTCAAACAAACAGAGAGCTCTTTGCAGTAACGTCCTCATTCAAAATAGTCATTTTGTTCCTGGCGAAAGGCACCAGCTCAGCTGTGTCCATTTATACCCATTAAGGCAACGTGCTAATTAACTGGCTTGCCCTTCAGATTAATGTTTCCTGGTTCTGACGTCAATCCACGATCTAACAGTCATCAGAGTCAAAACTCCCCACAGGACCGATCCTTCCAATCACAACAAAGCAGTATTGATGCAAATCAAAATTTCTTCAGACTTTAGTAAATAACTTCAAGGGAAACAAGAATAAAACCAGGTTTACAAGCTGCTAGTTATGTAGCTTAAGGGTTAAAGTGTAATTTTGAAATCTGGCCACTTTGATGAATAATTACAATATACAACACTGTTATTTTTATTGCTGCATTTGTAAGCAGACATTTGAATGATCTGTCCTTCAAGATTCCCTGTTTTGCTGATAATAACCTTAACATATATGAAAGCCCAAATCTTATGTGCAACTAAACCTAGAAAATGTATTGTCAGCATAAAAATACATTCTGGATATTGCCTTTTTTTAAAAAAAAAACAAGATTTTTTAAAGGTACATAATTCCACTGTCAGAAAGTTACATGTATCTTCCATTATTTTGCAATATTTAACGTTTTGGAAATGGAAGATCATCTCCAAGATTGTGATAATTGTTCGTTTAGCTGTTTAGTATATGGGGCTTCCTAACCTTAGCATTTTTCATTTAAGACAATTGATAAACAATTTGGAAGGTGGCTAAGTCTCCATTGTTTGTGCTCTAAGAGTAAGGGGTTAGAGTTTTTGTTTTTTTAAAAAAAAACCTTTATAACTATTAAATTATGTTCAAAGAGAATGACTGCTTTTGGATGGATAAGAATAAGTAATGCACTGATAAATTGAAGTCTTAGTGCTATCAGTGTTGTCAGAGCTGAACACTAGCATAACGCTAAACTATTCTACTGTTCTTTTCCATTGTGAATGTTTTGCAAAATATTAGGAAACTGCAAAATTGTAACACAGTATTATGATTCAATATATTATTGCAGGAATCGGAGGTTGGGCTCTTCAGATGGGGTTGAAAGAAGATTCCCATTGTTTGCATTTAAATATGTGGCGTTTTCTCTCCTGGCACAACACCCCATCATGCATAAATAGACAGCAAATGCCTGTCCATCTGGTATAGCTGTTATCTGTTCACTGTTAGGAACTTGTGGTTGCTTTTTTCTTAATGGAAGTGTGAGAGCTTTATCAGGTATTAAGCTGCATGTATCTGTTAATCAAACCTGCTGCCAATGATGCTGTTTTGAAGAGCAAAATACATAAAAAGCTGTGCCTTTCAAATGATTCCTTGCTCTCTCTCTGACTCTCTTTTATGCTTTGTGAACCAAATTACTTGCCGAGACAATCAAGACACTCCTCAGAGTTACATAACAAAATAAACAATTAGGTGAGTGGGCAGTGTGACAGAAGTAGCAGTGAGTACATGGCGAAAGCATATAATGACATTTCAAGATTTATAAAGGATGGTAGAGAGAAATACTGCATGAATATATTTTAGGATTTCAGAATGCATCATGTTAAGAAAACTGCAGTTGTTAGCTTGTCATTCAGCAATTGGATTATGTGCAATTGCAAAGATTATCCTCATGCCTATCATTTATATGTCCTGCTAGGAACTAACATTTAATTACAATATGTCACCTATTGGAAAACAGAAATGTTTAAAATGGCATAATTGATCCCCAGTGTGAGAAAAATCAGAGGCCAAAATAAAAAGTGTATTTTCAAAAATCATGACGAATAGAATAGAATAGAATAGAATAGAATAGAATAGAATAGAATAGAATAACAGAGTTGGAAGGGACCTTGGGAGGTTTTCTAGTCCAACCCGCTGCATAGGCATAGCAGAATCATTGTGTTAACATGATCCTGCCCATTCTTTTGGAAATGTAGTTCTTCCTAGGAGAAAATAGTCCATCCAATGCTCACCTAGAAGATATATCTGATTCTCCTGCGCTCTCTGGGTCTCATGGGTACGTCTTCCAGCCTTTGCTGGTGTTGGACACACCTCGGTCACTTGGGGAGACACACAGCCTGCTCTCCACCCTGAGACACTCGCCTGACTCTGCTGCGGCCAATGCTCCGCATCGTAATGGGCTCCAGGAGGAGGAGGTGACACCATCTTCCCCATTGTGAAGCGCACTAAATTTAACTGTGCTGCACAAGGGCAGGCCATGGACCAGCAGCAGAGAGAAACGGCCGGGTCGGGCCAGTGTCTCGGGGCGGAGAGGAAGTTGAGTGAAGTGTGCGCAGCACCAACAAGGACTGGAAGAAGTGCCCACAAGACCCAGCAAGAGATGAAGCAAGTACATGGCACTTCAGTCATGTCCGATTTTCAGAGACTTTCTGAACAAGTCCCTTTGGTTTTCTTGGCAATACACACACACACACACACACACACACACACACACACAAATCTGGCAGATTGGTTGATTAATGTATTAAAACTCCAGGACAAATTTGATGCTTGGTGACAAGATGGTCACCTCCATCTTGCTTAACAATGGTAATTGGGACCAGAATTTATGTCACTAAGAAAAGAATTATTTGAGGAGAGCTTTTTGCTAAGAGTTACTGGCAATTTTAGTGCACTAAATTCTAAATGGTTCTTTTACACTTCTAGCAACTGTTCAAAAGAACTTAAATATTATTGATTCAAAATTAATAATTTTAACATGTAACTATATTCTGTCCTCAAACTGAATGTGCATGTATTGTAAATACACAACTATTTGGTACGTGTGTTTATGTCTGTTTTTCCCTGACTGTTGTTGGAATTGCACCTTTCAATTGCTAAGCATCCAATTACTTAGCTTTCAGTTGGATTTGATTCAGATTACTCCTTTAAAGCTTTTAAAATAAATTAATAGGCATAGGCTATTATTAAAAATATATTTTGCAGAAGTGGGAAACAGATTAAGCGTGGAAATAGTTTTGGTGATCTCCGCATTATTTTTAAACCCCCAATCTCTATTACCTTGTATCTATCACCATTACTGTTACAAGATTCCAGTTTTTATATGCTGTTAACGGTGAGAATTTGTTTTCTCATATTTCTGTTTCACATTTTCTTTTTAATGTTTTTATAACAAATCTATTAAGCTATTAGGTATTCTTACCATAAAACTTTAATTTAAATATGTTTATTATCATCTACAGAATTTAAAGCTTTGTAATATGAATACTCTCTTAAATACTTTGCTGCAAATTTATGTCATAATAGGAACATTAGAGGAAATTGGCATGTGCAAAACCAACACTTCATTTCCTCTTTTTCATTCTTAGAGAAAATTGCATAAAATAGGCATATGTCTGGCCCTGGTATGACTATCTGTTTCTAATGGAAACATGATAGGCTGTCTATCACATATATGGTGCCTATCTGAAGTTTTTGCAAACTGGTTAGAGGGGGAATATGGGATTTAAAAATAAATTCAAATGAGTTCATCCAGTTCCACAATACAAACAGTGGCAGTATATCAGATGTTCATCTCTTGGGTTCTTTTATGTGTCAATATTCTACCCACAAATGTTTTATTAATACTGCCATTCTCTGGAATTCTCATTTCTGAATAGTTTCCATCATACAGTAATCAAATACTACTCAAGTGTTATTGGATTTCTCTTTCCCTCCCCCTCCCAATTTACAGCATGATGTATCTCAGACACTACTCAAAGCAACCCTGGACAGTGTGGTGGAGGAATGTGTCAGCTTCGTAGGAGTTGATATTAACATCTGCTCAGAAACTTTATTAAGGTGAGCTTGAAAACATTCACTTAGAATAGATAGTTTCAAAACTCAAAGAATTCATACAGTGGTTCTATATCTTTGGACTAGTGCCTTGTTCCGTACTTTTATTTTTATTCCAATGACTGCAACACTTGTTCTGTAAATGGAATCACCTTCCATGAGCAGAGCTAAAGTTAAGTCTGTATCCACAGATAACATCAAACCTTTCTAACCATTCTTAGCAGTGAATGTGAACATCTGAATGTTCCCCTATTCCCTTTCACCATCAGCACAGCCAAAATAGAAATAGCTATCTGCGGCCTAGATGTTTACAAAGCACATTTCTTTATTTCAGGGTTTATATCTTCCACAATAGTCTGGATAGCTATCAGACTAAGAAATGCAACCAAATATAATTTAAATATAAGTTCAAAATACATATAAAATAAAAACTACTCAAAAATAATAGCCTGATGAGACATGGCCCATGTCATGACCCTTTTCCTGTCATGGCTATGACAGAAAAGCGTAATCTTTGTCACCTCACAAACTAGTAATGTAGGAAATGGGGCGTCCATACCTTAGAAGGGGAACTGCCATTAAAAAGCTCTCTGTTCTGTGTACTTTGCTGAGATGATGCAAATAAGCCAGAAAAAAGCTCAACAGGAAAATTCGTACAGACAGGAGTTAATTTGTGGAATTCGTACTTCAGTGGGTCTTGTTAATTGAGAAATACTTTATCTCCTGCTGGTTTTCTTTCTTCATATTGTTATTTTACTAGCTTGATTTTCTTCTTTTTGAGTTTGGACCTATAAGGTTGTCATATATTACAGTTTTACAGAATGAGGCTTCCTCACATAGTCACTAAACATACTCTGAAGCTTAATTTCTATAGTTGGAAAGTCATTGTGCTCCTCGTCTGCTAAGCTCTCCTGTTTTCTATTCCCCCACCTGCTGCTCTCTCTCAAGTATTTTTCCTCCTTCTCCACTGTGTTTTTCTTAAACATAATTGTGGTAAAGTTTCATAAGTCTGAAAGTTTATAAAGAAACCAACCAACACTTATGCTTTTAGTATTAGTAAAACTGCACCATTCTGTATTATTAACTGAAGAAGCCATTGCTTGAGTGGAGATCTCTGGATTTATCACTTCTATAGTAGAGGAACTACAATGAAGCTTTTTTCCAATCATCCAAGAGCAGGGATGTCAAACTCACAGCTTGTGGCTGGAAGCATCATGCGCTGGCCTCACCCACCCCTGTTTTAGCGGGAAAGGGAGGGAAAGTCACAATACATCATGTGATGACAACAGGACGACGTGAGTTTGATACCCCTATCCTAGAGTATTACGTTGCTTTGATATTACTTATTGCTTCCTTTTATGAAATGTAATTCTAAATCTTTTATTATGTTTGTTAGACATATTGCAGGACTGAATGCCAATAGGGCTAAAAATATCATTGAATGGCGACAGAAAAATGGACCATTTATCAATCGGGAACAGCTTAAAGATGTCAAAGGATTGGGACCAAAATCCTTTCAACAATGTGCTGGCTTTATCAGGATCAATCAGGAATACATCAGATCATTCTGCAGGTAATATAAAAAGGGTATGAGGTTGTTTGCTACATGTAAGTAGAGATTTGATAAAAGTAAAAACCCCAGTAGGTAATAGGTTAGAATCCTTGACTTGAGAATCTACATTTAGGGTGAAGAGTAATTTGTAGTCTGCTGATTAATCAATTATAGCATAAGAAGGGTCATAGAAGGGCAATGTGATTTAGGGAGTAGAGTCATAGATTCACATTTCAGCAAAAAAGCACTAAGTCAATCCTGGCAAAAACCTCTTTTATTACATTAATGTGAATTTATTTCATTCACAGCCAGCCAATGGCTTGGCAAACAGTCTTGCAAAGATATACTAATTAGCTCAGACCTTTATCAACCCTTGGAATGCTTCCCAGTAAAATTCTACATAGTGCTAACAGGGGAGGGCTGGGTAATACAGATAAATCTTCACGAGGCTGGAACAAACAGACGAACGAACAAGTGAGTTGTTTCCCCTACCTTTTTGCTTCTCTTTTAATCCTGATGGGAGGGGCCATTCATCATCCATCTGTGGCCTTACTCCCACATCGATCCTGACTTCTTAATTGTGCCTTCCTTTTGGCAGCTCTGTGCATATGCAGGCTGGGAACTGGTTCCAGAAGCTCCCCCGCCTCACTGCTGTCTGAGCCCGAAGGCAGCTGATGACTGCCAGCCTGCCCTGGGCCTATCTCTGCCTCTGACACAGAGCCCTCATCTGAGCCTTCCTCAGCCTCCAGGACTGGCCTGGGTTCCTCCCCAACCTCCTAATTACTGTCCAATTCTGCTGCCAGCTCCACCTCCCGCTGGCGGGCCACAACATCAGCTATGAAGTTCATAATTCAGCTTTTAGATATTAATTACCATCTCTTAACATAATGAAATAAACATTCAGATGGAGACACTGATCCCACTAATCTTCCACTACTCTAAGCTCCCATCCACTCCCATCAGTTGCCATTCGGGAAGACATGCTGAGTAGTTATATGTTGATACCATTTGTTTTGGATTTATAAAATAGTGAATGTTGCTTATGAATCACCTTTGAAGGATTTGTGTCATACAAGTTAAGATATTGATCCATCTAACTTTAACTTTTGTTTCCTTTGACAAAGAAACTATCAAATGTAATAGATCAAATTAAATTTGAGATGGTGGTCTAACATTATAGAAAAAAAAACATCCACAGAAATTGTGGAGTTCCTTCTTTCTTCTCTTTTTTTCTACATTATCCTACCCACATGTTGCAGCCCTCAATAGTAATAACTAACATAAACATAGTTGCATTATATTATGTCTTACAATGCCAATTTGATTTTGATGAATATTCTCTGGCAAGTAAAGACTGTATGTCATAATAAAGTTTCTCATCATTTCCAAGGAAAGAAACTCCAAATGACAGTTCAATTTAAGCAGGACAGAAATATAATAGCAATTTGTTTGAATACTGTGGAATTAAGCACAAAGACTCGTTTAAGAAGCCGAAGGTTGACCCAACTTTGGATATAGAGATATCTTAAATACACACACACACACACACACACACACACACACCAGTTTTAATAATTTTGAACTTGCTGCACCAGCCAACCTAAGGTATCTTAGACAACTGTAGCTACATTTGAGGCTCAATTGATATAATCTACACAAAAGGGAAAAAAACATTGCAAAATAGTGCAAGGAATTCTGGCTCTCATATTGATACATATGTTTTTAATATAAGGAGTCATATCTTCCGAACTATGATTGGTCTTGGGATTCAATGAAAACCCATAAAAAAAAAAGTTGATAATAGTTCTATGCATGGACCACTTTGGCTGTGTAATAGTAAGTTTATGAGTGAGGTTCTCTTTGGCATTTAGGGTGGGATATAAGATATAACGACTGTGCACAATAAAGAAAAAAACACTGATTCAACATATTAAGATTTTAAACCAACACACTCACCCACACAAAAGCAAGGAAAAAGAAAAGTGATATCAGTTATGAAGAAAAAGAGTAGAGGGATTCCCAGTTTGATGTCTGAACTGTTTATAGGAAGCATATCAGAGGTGGTGTTCAGCAGGTTCTGACCACTTCTGGAGAACCGGTAGCGGAAATTTTGAGTAGTTCAGAGAATTGGCAAATACCACCTCTGACTGGCCCCGCCCCATCTATTCTCTGCCTCCTAAGTCCCAGTCGATCGGCTGGGTCGTCTTTTGTTACTCTGCACAGGAGAACAGAGCTGGAAAGCAGGTTAGTGGGGAGGGAATGGGGATTTTGCAGTAATCTTCCCCTGGAGTGGGGTGGGAATGGAGATTTTACAGTATCCTTCCCCTGCCACGCTCACCAAGCCACACCAACAGAACCGGTAGTAAAAAAATTTGAATTCTACCACTGAAGCATATGAATCAATTTTAAAACAATTCTAACCATGGTCTATTAATTTAGCATTAGCTATACAGACCAACAACGTCATTTCAATATTTTTCTCAGAAATTTGTCAGAAATTGAATCTGGTGCCTTCAAACTACAAGCCATGTGTTTTACAATTTCATTGTGTTTCATGAGTGAAGCTGTTTACACTATTCCCTGTAACTGAAATATTGAATCTGTGTTTTTTTAAATTATTTAATTTCAATGGAGTTTGACAGAAATATAGATAATTAAAATTAGAGCACTTCAGGTCCACTATATGCAGAATTTTTGAGGATTTGATTATTATAATGCTTATTTGTTAGCAATGTTTGTCGAATCTGTAAATATCAAATTTGAGATTTTGTAGCTTTTGCCATTGGGCAGAAATGGAAAAGATACATAAGATGTTCACTGCTTTAATGATAACTACATCCTTTTCTCTTATGATTTTGGATCTCAGTCAACAGAATGAGCTTGCAGCTGGGAGTCATAAAGCAGTCACAAATGAGAAACAGTGTAAAAAGAAAACCAAAGCTGCAGCAAATGTCATTCGGCAGCCAAATCCTTTGGATCAAACATGTATCCACCCTGAATCATATAATATTGCAATGAGGTAAGCAGTGTAAAAATGAAAATGCAGTTAGCTCTTTTAGTTTTTAGTCTGAGAAGTAATATTTTTTCCAGATTACATGTGATCCCAGACAGCTAGTAATGCAGCCCACAAGATTGTAATAAAAATATTTAAAAATAAAGGAAGTTTGTTGTTCAGATATGTTATCTTTATAATATATGCTGTCCAAAGGCAATTCCTCTTCATTCAGTGCAAGCCAGGCAAGCCAAACGGTTAGACACACCTGATTTAGATATATATGGTTCTTTGTAATGTATGTTTTTATGATGCTTACAAAAGATATAAAGTTCATTATAACCAATTTTGGGGATTTAAACAATGTTGGTAATGCAGTTTGATATTATTATTTTTGCCTGTCCTGAAGCAACTATATAATCCCTGGAATCTTCCTAATATTTCATCATTTCCAGTGGGAGGTATATTTTAATACAGGATTCCTGCAGTGTTAATCAGGTACTGATAATCACCAAACCCCAATTTACCATGGAAATGTTTTGAAAGCCAGATTTCTGCAGCTGCAGGAAAAATGGTTTAAGGAAATTCAGATGAGTGTATTTAACTTTTCCTATTAATTTCAAAGCATCTTTTTATTTTGAATATGAAATTCCATGCAGCTCTAAAACTGATACAGTATAGTATTCTTCTTTAAAGTGAAACTTTACATAGAAATATAGACAATCTAATTATGTTAGGGTACTTTCCAAAAGACTGTAGTCTAACCAAGTATAAAAAAACACCCACAATATAGTTCCTACCTTAACTATGTGGCAGTTATGCTGCAATATCAGACAACAATGGCAGACAGAATGGCGTCCAAAATGGCATTCACTCAGCCTCCCAATATGTGACAGTGGTACCAAGAGTATGCAGAGCACCATAAACTACTCTTTTCCTCCTTCTCCTGCCTTCTAGAACCTTCTGGGTTGGAATTGCAGACAGGTTTGTTTGTATTTGTGAAAGTTCATAACTCGAAAGGACTGTCTGTAGTAGCAGCAGCAGCAGTAATAGTGATGTTATTATGGTTCATCACAGTCAGTCAGACGTTCAGACCTGGAATAGGCAGATGTTAATGTTTGATGCTGTTAAAGTTTTTGTCACAGGATGTAAGCTGTTCCACGTGAAGCTGCCTTTTGCAATTGACTGATGATTTTATCAATGGTGTTCAAATGATGCTCCAGTTGCTTTAGGATTGCACCCAAGTTCCTATTACTAAGCATATTACCATTGTTTTCTTTAGCCATAGTCATTCTATTTCTGTTTGCAGGTGTTTGTACTTTGTTACCTTCTCCAGTTCTTTCTCTTCTATCCTGCTGCCTCCAGGTACTGCCATGCAAAGAAGTATCCACACTTCTTTATCTTTCTTATCAACATTTGTTAAGGCTGTGATGTAATGTGGCAGGTGCCTGTCTGTTTGAATTCTAAGGTTCCACTTTAGTTGCTTCATTTTTTATTATTTGCTCTATTTTATGGTCCCACCAGTTTTTGCTTGCAGGCAAATGTTATTTCTTGCAGATTTTCCAATGTACCATTGTTGCTACTTTGTCATGCCATTGCTTGTAGTCAGCCTGGGTGATCTTCAACAGCTAACCAGATGATCCACTGTTTGTTCAGTTTCTTTACATTTTGTTGTTGTTAGTCGTGAAGTTGTGTCTGACCCATCACAATTCTCGACCCCATGGACAACGTTCCTCCAGGCTTTCCTGTCCTCTATCATCCCCCGGAGTCCATTTAAGCTCATGCCTACTGCTTCAGTGACTCCATCCAGCCATAAAATTCTCTATCGTCCCCTTCTTTTTGCCCTCAATCTTTCCCAGTTGCCTTTCTTTACATAGGCAACACTTACTGTCTGTTGCTGTCTTCTCAGTTCTGGCTTTGTATGCATTTGTTCTTAAGGCTTGGGCTTATGCAGCCAGAATTAGCTCCTTGGTATCTTTCTTCAAGTTTCCTACTCTTAGCTATTGCCAGTCCTGTTATTATCTGCTTTCCCTGCTACTTGTTTAATGTATTGGCCATGTAATGCTTTGTCTTCCCACACCTCCATTCTCTTTTTCATTTGGTTTTTCTTGTAGGGCAGTTTGGTCTTTCCTGTACTCAGTAAGCCTTCCTAATTTATTTGCATCTACTTAGCAAACTTTTTTGTCTTCTGATTGCAGAAACACTGTCAGTTTGGAAGCAAAATGGATTTTTCCCCAAAAAATTAAGATGATTAAATCAGTTGAAATATAACTACCGTATCTGTGAATAAAATCTTTATTTAAACATCAAAAATGTTTAGAATTTCTGATAAGAATTATTAAAAATAATACTAATGATGAGAATTAATAAGTTTATATTTTATGCTGATTGCAGAGAGAGAAGGATAAAACCTGAAGAGTAAAAGTACAACAATTGGCTTTTATGGATTAGTCCCTTGTGCAGGACCATAATCCATAGCAAGTTTACACAGAAGTAAAGATATTTGAGTGAAATGGGAATTTTTGACTGATATCAATTTCCTCTTAATGTTTTTAGAAATAGAAATATTTTCATCAGGATTACAACAGGGAAATTGGGGTTAAATTCCCTTTCCTATACTTTTTCTGATCCTATTCATTATCAGTGTAATATTAGATGCAAATACTTAATGCCAGATGTCATCTTGCCTTCTAAGCAGGCACGTTTAGAACTACATAACATGTGTCCTTCAAGGATCAGTTGTTGAAACTTTTTCCGTACACACTGTCATAGATATGTCATTTTAACTCTGCCAGAAAAGATGGGAGGGGAGATTTTAAACAGTTTTTTGTATGCAGCATAATCCTCAAAGCATCTCCTTGTCAACACCCACTATGTTTCTGACATGCCTCAAGTAAGTAGGAGCCAGAGAAATAACCAACTACAACTTATGGCCTCTGGCAAACAACATGTGCTTAGTTACTAGATTACGCTGCCCCCCACCCGTTAAATTCTAGTTAATTTCAGTTTATAAAGATTCAATCTAACATGATAATGGATGTAACAATTAACTATCATTAACTGGGTACTATAGATGATCCCTTTATTCTTTGACTTCAATGCAAATGTAATAAAATTTTGAGTTTTAACTGAAACCTTATGGAATTAATAGTATTTTAAATTTTGTTTAATATGTAAAAAAAGAAAACCCTCCACAAACCCTTTCAAGATAGTGACTTACAACAGGGTAAGTTTAATGCTCATTAAGATAAGCTGACAAGTAAATCATATTATGAAGCCAGATTGCAACATCTGGTTTATCAGTTTTATTTCCTGAGTACTTAGAGCCTTTACATTTTTTTTATAAAAGTTTTTTTATTTTTATTTTTAATTTTACACATCTCTTCACGTGAGCAACATGATTCCGGATTATAACACTTGTACATAGTCATACTTTCATTTCCATTTCTATTTTAAGGGATGTATGCATGATATACATTTGGATGTATGTCTTTTCGAATATTACTAGGCTTTAAAGACCATTAATACAATTTCTTTCTTTCCCCTGCCAACCTTTTCCCATGGTCTGCATGGAGAACATCAGATTGTAAAAAGCTATCCTGAAGAGTAGTGCTGAAGCCATATTCTCCATTTCATATTCTAGAATAGTCTACATAGCTCTGGGTCCTCTATGGATATTCTAGGATCACTGTGATAATGTATTTTCTTTGCTCATTTATGTCTATTTCCTTACTTTTATTCTGCAGCCCTTCTTGTCTTGAATCACAAACTGTAAACTGCTTGGGATACAGCCTTTCTTACTTTATCTCTTAAGGCTAAAGCTGTATGTATATTACCTGTCTAATAAAAATAATAGTAATAGCAACAAGAATTAGCTTTATTACAAGGCTTACATTTTTAAAAAATCCTTGCAGGAAGCATTCAGTTTGGTTGGTATCAGCTTTCTGGAGTTGCAGCAAAGCAGCCATAGATACATTTTTTTCCACTTAAAATAGTATTGTTAAAATAAGGTAATCCTTCTCTATTTCATGACTAACTAGTGATAGTAACATTTATTTGGTATCAGTATATTGAAATAAGACGTAACCTATCTTAGCACCTTTTATTATGGTAATAGCCAACATCCAGTCGATTGCAAAAGCAAGCCTTCCTGTTTTCATCTGTTTACCTTGCCTCCTACAAGAGCTAAAAGGCTAGGTACAGTTAGAGGCAGATATAACTCATCCTTGGACAGAAAACCGCCCTTACCTATATTAGATTTGTTCTTCTTTCACTGCTTTCCAAAAACTAAATCCCAAGCCTCCTACCGAGATACTCAAGAAATACCTTTCTGAGAGGCCGAGTTACATGAAAGAGGAAAAGTAGGAAGATTTGCATTCTATATCTTATCTACAGAGCAAGCAGAAAGACACTCATATAGTATGGGGTGTAAGTGAAGAAATTTGCATTTTGTTATTTTAATTGTAGCTAGTAAGTTATTCTTTGGAATAGATTGGTTGTACCTTTTGCATAGTTTTAAACATAGTGTTTAAACCAAGGAAATTTCAGAAGTATGCCTTAAACTAGCCTCTTAGCAATCAGTATTTATCTAGACGGAGCTCTAATAGTTGCTGCATTCAGATGCCTAGTCTTACAAGAACAATTGCCTATTTGCTGTATCAAACATGGTCATTTAACCTATACTATTCAAACTTCTGGAAATAGCAATTTTTATTCATCCCAATTGATGTTCAAGCCTATTCATTATCTTTAAAAATTGTAACCTGAACTGGCATTTCCTTTTATTATTGAAGCTTCAGCAAATTCACTTAGAATGCTGGTAACATTATGAAAATAAATACTAATGTACAGATTACAATGACTGTCCAAAATATGATGAATGCTGACATTTGCATGAGAATATTGACACTCTCAAGTAAAGTTTTCAAAGTTGGAGTCCTTTAATAACTTATTTAAGATAAACACTAGCAGTGTTATGTGTCTAGTGTTACATTCCAAAGAATTAACTTCTGTATCTACCTATTGAAAAGTTAGTGGTGTTTGATTCAATAGGGCTTACGTCTACATAATAGCAAGTAGAACTGTAGCTTAAGTTTCTAAAACCTCCAACATGCATCAATGAATTTTTCAATATACTTAATTATGAATGTCAGCCAAACTGAGAAGGTGAGAGAGAATACCAGGTATTTTCTCCATTATTGCATTTTCATTGGGATCATCTCTATTAATAACATTAGAATATTTTTTGAGTGTTTGATAAGAAGGTTTTACTATTTAACTTCTTATACTGATCTTTTAATTTGTATTTCAGCAATTAGCATGTGCTTTCGTAAACTTTAAATGTTTATCTGCATAGCATGTCTTAATTTTTTGCATGTGTACATTTTATATCAAATAGTTTGAAAAATATTAAATGTAATTTATTATTAGTAATCACCTACAAATAAAAATGTCATGTGTAAAAAGAGGGGTAGTTATTATTCCTATAATTTGCTTTTAAAATACTGCAAGCTGGAAGCTCTCCATTAGTGTTCTTATGTCAGCTTCAGTATACCAATTGTTCCACCCAATAAAAAATAAATGAAGACAGAGAGAAATAATTGTTTATAGCATTGTTCTTCCTTAAGCATAGCATAGCATAGCCCAGCATTGTTCTTCCTTAAGCACAGCATAGCATAATGATACTATGCTGTTATTACATTTTCTGTGACCTTGGTATAACTGCGGATGTTTTTCTATACCCATAAGGATTTGCTTTGTTCTTAGCAATGACATTTAAAAATAGAGGAGGTCAATATGCATTACCGCTGAGATGGAGTTTCATCTTTAATGTTGATTTCTCTTCCAAGTGTTCTCCAAGGCTGAGGTTTTTTTTTGGGGGGGGGTGAAAATGAGCCATGAAAAGAAGTAAAGGGAGGGAGGGAGGGAGGGAGGGAGGGAGGAAGGAAGGAAGGAAGGAAGGAAGGAAGGAAGGAAGGAAGTTCCTATGTTCTTTCACTAAGAACATAGTTGATTTGGGAATGACTATATCATATTCTATATTCTAAATCAGATGTAGCTCTAAAAGTGTACAACAAAATGGAATTGTTTCTTTGAATATAAATTTATAAGATTGACTGTAAATTCTGAGCTTGGCTGTTGGATTTTTCCACAGACTTTCATTCTCATTCTGCTTGGTACATTCTTAAAATAGAGACTATATTCTTAAAAAGAAAAAATTATATATATATGTAAATAAAACACATTCCATTCCAATTCAATTCTATCATTAATATGCATTAAAATCTTAACATCTTTAACATTTCTTTTCAACTGAATATCATATTTCCTTGGGAACACTTATAATATTGGAATTAGATTTTAATTCTTTAGTTTTAATTCTTTAGTTTTATATGTCCATCAACAGATTTTGTGCTGGTAAGAAGTTTGACTAGATCAAAGAAATCTAGGTACATATCCATTAATGGAAGTTCACTGGGTGACCTTGGCAAAGTCATTATCTCTCAGCCCAACCTCCCTCATAAGATTTGACTCATAAACCTAGAAAGGGCCATATAGGTCATATAGTCCATGCCCTCGGATGATGAGACAAACAAGTGAAATTTATCTCCTTGCCTTGCACCAATTAGCCAACGTAGCATGTTTTGCACCAGAATCAATCTGATAAGCCAAACTAGAGATGACAGACCTCACAACTATACATTGGAAAGCTCTCCTTGTTGCTATCTGCAAATCCAATGACCACTGACAATCATGGAGCACCTCTGGCCTACAACATAACTTTATAGAATGTAACTTTCTGTCCAAAATTCCTACATTCTGTTATTATCCATCAAAATGGCCAAAGCAAATTATTTATTGGCTGAAAGCCTGAATTTTAACAATATTTGGGTAAAATGATTAAAATTGGCAATGAAATGTTTTAAATAATAGTTATTTAAATAATAGCTTGATAACTATTTAAAAAAATCTGTCCAGAGCTCCATCAAAGTTTCTAACAGGAGTGTTGTTCTTTACATTCCACTCTTAAAATGCATTTTTCCAGGGAGCTTTGAATAAAATATAGAACTACATCAATGAAGTAGCAGTCATAATCACATGGATTTGAAAGGAAAAACCAAACATATTTTATGGTTATGGTTTTTATAATTTATTTTGTGCTTTCTCTTTAGTAGTAGAGCATTGTTCATTTTTAAATTACTTTCTTACATTTTTATATCAAAATAGAAATGGCCTCACATTTTAAATATACCATATTTTTCACACTATAAGACGCACCTGACCATAAGACGCACCTAGGTTTAGAGGAGGAAAACAAGAAAAAAAATATCAGACGGAGCCTGAGAGGACCACAGATAGGTGTCCTCTCATGAACCAGCTCTGCCTATTGACACTGCGGAAAAGAGACAGAAGAGGTGGGGTTCAGGAGCACTGTAAAAGGACCCCGCCTCCGTGGCCCAGCTGCTATTCACCAAAGGATGAGCACTGATGCACAGACATTTCCACCCACTGGTCCATGTAACCATATTTTTCGCTCCATAAGATGCACTTCTCCCATAAGATGCACTATTTACACTCAATTAATAGTGTAATACACTCAGTTAATATTTTAATCTTTTAGTTGATTAGTCTAGCTGTTAAACAGATTCAATTTGTTAACTCTAATCCATATAGTTCTGAGGCTCAGAGTACAGGTAACTTGATAGTAACTACAACTTGGTCATTGAGTGTAGTGCCAACTTGGTCATTGAGTGTAGTGATCACTAAGTGAAACTGGGACTATGCTTACATGATTTCAGCTTTCCTTTGCTTTACAAACCTGCAAAAGTCATAAATACAGCTATTTGCTTTTTTTTTGTTTTTAATGCGACCTACAGCTAATTGAATAAGGAAACGCTTATTCATTTTGGAACTCACATGAACAAAAACATATATCAAACTTTGGAAATTGTGATGCAGAAAAATTGTTTAATGCCCTTTCCTTCAAAGTCAGTGACAATTCATCTGGCTAATTCTTATTGCTTTGTAAATGACCTAGCTAATATTCAGAAGGACAGAAATAAATTTCAGAGTGATCTTGATAGATTAGAGATACAGGCTAAAAACAGAAAAAAGTAGTGGATAAATGTGTTTTTCATTTTGAAAAAAAGAAATCAAATGCCTTGAGAAATGATAACTGGGAGAGATAACAGCAATCTTCAAATAACTAAAGAGGTGTCATGTTGTGTACAATGTGCACCGGGCTTTTGTTGTTGTTGCTACTCCTGCTACTGTCCCAAAGTACAGGACACAGATTAATGGATTTCAGTTAGAGGAAGGCAGATCTGCATCAATTTTAAATCAGCTTCCGATAGTAACAGTCTTTAAGCAGTGGAATCACCTACCCATGAGGGTGGTGTTGAACTCCTTTCACTGAATGTGTTCAGGCTGAAGTAGAAAAGCCATCCTGCAGGATAGTACAGAGTTTCAGCTCAAATGCAAACAGCCACTGCTGCAGGCATTTGTTCCTGGTGCAAAGTAATTATTCATGAGGTCACAATGTGATTTTTAAGAGGGGAGTAGTTGATCGTCATTCTTTGCATGCTGAAATCCACCACACAAAGGTATTCCCTAAACTTTTCCCAAATAATTCATTTTGCATTGGGAAGGTTGCTTAACATTCACTAGAGACAAATGCTCGGCAATACACCAGAGTTGGAGCCATATAGGTACATGTATGTGGTATGTAACAATGAGATTAAATGGATTCCAGAAGATGGTAGAGGACAGGAAGGCCTGGAGGAATGTTGTCCATGTGGTCACGATGGGTCAGACACGACTGCTCAACTAACAACAAAAAACAATGAGATAGATAGCATAGAAATTTAATAATAAAAAATAAGAAGAGCAGGAGAAGCCACCTATCATTCCTTCTTCCTCACTGAGGAAGAAACCTTTAGAAATATGTGGAGTGGTATCCTTGGATACAGAGCCATGTGGACTCTTAACATCCCCCTCAGCAAGGCAAAAGTAATACAGTAGTAGCAGCTTTCGCCTCTTCTGCCTCCATTGCACTTATCCTCTGCAGTGTAGGGCAGTGGCAGAGGGTAAGTTAGCATGGTCTTATTTATGGGAGAAGACTATTGTGTAATTTTACAACTGAGGAGAACTAAAGATTCTAAGCATGCCTTGGAATGAAAACCATTGAATCTATAGGATGTATTGACAGAGGAGGCATGCCGTGGGCCCCGTTGGTCAGCATATTCCAGATGAGGGGGAGGTCCAGGAGAAGAACCTCTCTGCCATTGTGAGACACCTCTAGAACATCTTACCCCTCCCCCCCAAGATGAGATGAGCTCCAACCTCCTGACCTTCTGTAAGAGCTTAAAGACCTGGCTCTGCCATTTGTCTTGGGACACCAATGGAGGGGCTTCATGTTGTAGGTCAGAGGTCTCCAAACTTGGCAACTTTAAGACTTGGGGACCAACTCCCAGAATTCTCCAGCCAGCTATGCTGGAGAATGCTGGGAGTTGAAGTCCGCAAGTCTTAAAGTTGCCAAGTTTGGGGACCCCTGTTGTAGGCGGTGGCTTGATCAACAACAGATTCCACCCTGTTCCCCTCTCATGTTGATTTTATAGTATTATATTTATAGGTTATCTATGTATATGTATCAAAAGTTATTCTAGCTAAAACCTGTTATTATCTAAAGGATGAGATGCAGATGGAGAGAGAGAGAGAGAAAAAATTCTTTGCACTATTCGTGCTATTTATTTAAGCTTATCTTCCATGAACTGTGGTCTAATAATTCAAAAGTAATATTTTCTACTCTCATCCTGCTTCTGTTTTATATATAAGGTTTTTAACACTTGTTGGAGAAAGTCACTGCGATATAGGAAAGCCAAAAATGCAGCAGAAAGTGAATTCAATAATTGAAAGAGAAGGGATGGATGGAATTACAAGAAAATTGAATACAACAGAACAAACACTGCAAATAATAATTGATGCATTGACTCAGCCAGAAAGTTTTGACATTCGGAAAGGTAAGAGGTTTGAAGATATTGTTCTTTTGCCTTTGATATGTCAATTTTTGTTTATAATTTTAGTGACATTTTAGTTGGACAGTTATGTACATTCTCTGTAAGCTGTCTGCAAGCAGAAAAGTATTGGACTGCTTTGTGAGGTATGTAACAAAAATTAGTTTTATCTTTAAGAAATTTTATCCCTATTCTAAAATCATGATCCTTCAAAACTATAGAAGTATGGTCCTGGTTAAGTTCATGATCCCTGACTATCTGTGTTTGCTCTACTGTTCCACCGACTTTGAAAATGAATTGTAAATCTTTTCCATTATTCCTGCCTGAGTAGTTGGAAAAATTATGTTTTGTGGGGATCCTGAAATATAGATGAACCAGATAACATATTTTAGGCTTAGATGTTTGTTGCAAACCATGTTTATTTGTTTAAACTGGCATTATACTTTTTTTTTCTAAAATCATAGAAACTTTTATAATGGATAATGGATAACGATAAAAAGAATGGTGAAATGTATTTCAGAAAATGCAGTGAGACTAGTCGGAAGTGATTTATATGGCTTTTACCAACAGGTTGCTAGGTTATACAGTATTTATTTATAAGAATCCTATAACTTCCCTGTCCAACATACAGTTGATACAGCATACATTATTGATTTTTTAAATATTTATATTATTTTTAAAGTATATTCAATGGCTAAAGTTCTCTGGAAAGTTTACAATAAAACACACTAAAAATACACCCTGAATAAAAAGATATATTATACAATTGTCTAAAAATACAAAATAGAAACACCATATAAAGTACACAGCAGCACACTAATCCTTTAGAAACTAAAACAGTATGAATTAAAAGCCATTTTAAAAGTTTGGATAAATAGGAAATGTCATCAAATGATCCTCATGCCTGTGCCAGTTGAGCTTCTCTAGGGAAATATATTTATATATTATAAGTTAGGGAGGGAATTCCATAAATGGGATGGCACAGAAAAAACATCATTAGATAAACTTAAAACTCTGGTACTACATATGGGAAAAGATATTACTTCAAGTAACCTGGTCCTAAGCTATTAAGGCTTTAAAAGTCAGCGCCAAAACTTTACCAAAAGCACTTGGCTGTTTATACAGTATACAGTGGTTTGAAGCACTCTTTGAGTGATTTACAAATGCCAGCATATTGCCTCCAACAGTCTGGTCCCCATTTTACCGACCTCAGAAGGATGGAAGACTGAGTCAATTTTAAGCCAATCAGGATCAAATTTCTGGCTGCGGGCAGTTAGCCTGCAATACTGCGTTCTAACCATTGTACCACTATGGCTCCTTTGAATTGCATCTGGAGACAGACTGGCAACCAACATAGATAGGGAAGAACAAGGCGTTATCTATTCAATCCGCCAGTCCCAGGGAGCAGTCTTGATGCTCTACTTTGAATTCATTGGGGTTTCTATACTGTTTTCAAAGGCAACCTCCTGTACTATGCATTGCAATTATCCAACTGATAATAACTAAATCCATTCATTTGTGGCTCATATTACAACTTATTAACCCATAAGCTTATTTTCTTTCCTTTTTTTCTGCTATAATTGGGGACTTGTGGTATTTAAACAATTTTCCATTTAAATAAATGATATTTAAATATATATTTCTAAAATATCTCATCTAAATATGAATTTATGATATATTAAATATATTTTCTTTCTAAATATGGATCTTAAAACATGTTTTTGGTACACTATGCACTCATCTAACTACTGAAATGTTTAGTAAGCATGGAAGCCAGTAGTTCTCAGACATTCTTTTAGGTCAGTTCATATCCAAATTCCTCAAACATCCCTAGTGAAGTGTTGACTGCTTTTAATAGACTCAAAGAGCTTTCACGATCAGATTAACATTGACAGTAGGATGCAGTGAACTGGACCATATCTTTAATTAAATTGCACTGAAATTAGGAGCAGCTGTATTTTCGGGACAGGTTTTTGCAGTATAGCTCTCAACTGCAACATAGATTGTAGCAGTAACAGTTGCCATGGGAAGTCATGCGAGTAGATTGCATCAGACTGTGGAGCTTCATAGGAACTCCTCAATTAAAATAAAAATTGAATAGGTGCTGGCTAACTAAATATATTTTTAAAAAACAGTGGTAGAAAATAAAGCAAGCATCTTTTCAGAATGGGAGAGGTCACAAGGCGAGTAAAGCTCATATTTCAATGCCTTTTTTTTCCTAACACAGCAGCAAAGAGTGTGGAAGTTTTTCTTTCATTTTTAGAACCCATTGCTGTACCATTCAACTATTGTTTGAAACAAGCAAACATCAATCTGTAGGTTATAAAACTGACTTGTTTAAACAATCTATATTTCATATTAACTGTAGTTCAAATGACCTTGTTAATGAATCGTGGAAGCAAAAGTTTTTGAACTCACAGCAGAGAAGCCAGAAGATATATATCTTAGTTTCACTCTAGTTTGTATTAGTCATACTAATTTATGAGCCAGTCTACCAACCCTGGTGACTTCTAGATGTATCACATTACAACCCCCCATATACGGCCAGCCTAATATAACAATTGACACCGTTGGTTTGAAGATGGTGAGAATTATAGACTAATATATCTGCAGGATATAGGATAGGGAATTAGTCTAATTATGCTATTATAAGTGTATTTCATCTCTTCTCCTCAACCATCAATACACACAAAAATGCCTCAGAAATCTGTAAAAGCTCTTGGCTACCTGTTAGAATTTATGGATCTTATTCATATCACTCTCAGACCCAGTACCTGAGGGGAAAAACAAGTCTTTAATGCCTTCCAAAAGGGCTGGGATTAAGTTAATCTGGGGGTGGGAAAGTGTTATACCAAGCCTATTGTGGGTTTTATTTATTTATTAAATTTTTAATTTATTTTTAATTTATTTTTATTTTAAAATCATCTTTGTGTTTTTATTTTGGTTTTTCCTTTCATGCAGATTTTACCTTTATAAGGTAAAATTAATCCCAATAAATGTCAGACCATTACTAACAGATGATATTGCTCTGTTGACCATGACTTTCAACTCTTTCAGAACCAGCCATAAATTGTGATTTGTGACCAAATAAAAAACATGCCAATTTATCTTTGAAAAGATGGTTAGATGACATTATTTTGGGGGTGCCAGCTCAAAATGAAAAGAAGTAATAGATGGTAGTAACATATGGTTATACAAGAGAATTTTTAATTATGCAATGGATTGCCTGGAAGCCCCCTGTACTTAGTTTAACAACCCTCCAGTTCATTTAATGGCTGCATCAGGGTAAAGCAGGGAGTGGTGTCATTAAGGAAGACTTTTTCAGCTGTTGCAACTTTTGACCATAATGGACAAGCTCATTTTTCTCATAAAAATACATTTGGTCACTGTGTGACACCATGTTAATCTGATGTACCACTCATATTCTCATAGTCTTAGTGCTATCTAACATGAAATCAAATTATCCCTCAGAATCTACCCAGCTACTGTACATTAGAAATTAATTGATATGTTTCATTAAATAAAACATTTTAACCATCAGTTCATGGTGCTTTTCATTTGTGGGAAATCAAACAAATCTGCAATGGAAATTGTGGGTCTGAAAAATAAAACTGAGATCATCTGTGGATTACCTAAAGTAGAATTTAGAAAGCTCTGTTTCCAAAGTTTTATTTTAAAATCATCTTTGTGTTTTTATTTTGGTTTTTTCTTTCATGCAGATTTTGATCAACCTGATTTCAAAAAAAGCATTGTTTGTCCTGAAGATTTAAGAGTTGGAACTATTCTCACAGGAAGAGTTGAAAATGCTACTCTCTTTGGAGTTTTTGTTGACATTGGAGTTGGTAAAACAGCATTAATTCCAATCCGTAGCATAACAGAAGACAAACTTTCAAAAGCAAAGAAAAGAAGAAGTCTCGGTCTTGGTCCAGGAGAAAAAGTTGAAGTCAGAGTGCGTGAAATTGATCTTCCACGGTCCAGAATAACTTTAGAGTTAATACGTGTATTATGAGCAATTTGTAGACATTTTTCATAGTAAGGGCTACAATCTCAACATTAATGAGAAAATAGTAGAAAAAGGAGGAATAAGTTAGAATCTTCATTCAAACTACAGCTAAAAGGGCATGTTTGCTATTGACAAAAAAAAGCAAAAAAACTCCCAAAGTCTAGTTATATGAATGACTGCAATCATCTAGGGTGCAAAGGCTATCAATTTAGTTATAGCTGTTTGTAGTGGTTCTTTAAAACGGTTGTGAAAGTCACTTGTTTTTTAACATCCAGCCTTTAGCTTCCATGAAACATATTAAAAGATAGAATACTTTCATAGGCATTTGTGAAATATGTATATGGTTTAATATGGGTTAATAAGTTTAACAAACCATCATTCCTCAAGCAAATGAAATGATTAAATCCCGTTAATCCAAATGATCCAGTCAAGCTTTAACCTACAACATTTTATCAAGAATGTACTTGATTTCTAGGGCTTTTTAAAACTCCTATTTCCATAGTTGTATATTTCAAATTTAACTTTAAAAAGTAACAGAAATGTGTTTGGATGTTTAAGTGAGTATTATAGAACTTTGTATCTCCAATTGTAGTTGACAATTTGGTTATGATAGCTCTGACCATTTTCCCTTCCACAATTTTTCGTTCTTATTGATATGCAAAGTCATATTAGAAAAAAAAACTTTGATCTGAAATTCTCTATAGTAAACTTGTCCTTGGACTGTATAAAACATTATCTGCATATAAGAAAGTCATAAAAAATTAATTCCATGTTCGTTCCGTAGTGACTTTAAGTTTCTATGAGGAAGGATTTTGTCTATATAAAGGAATATTCAACCACCTTATTCCGTTACCCTAATGTGAAATAATGCAGGCCTGACTCAGTTTTTTAATAAAATTGTTTAAATTTCAAGGGTAACTTGAGCAATTAACTCCAGCTCTTACTTTATGTGTAAAATTTTATTAGCTTCCATGTAACTATTGGTCGTTTTTGTGATAGAGAGAATCTGTCCTTTCCTTTGCAGTTTCACCTCAATAGTGGCTCTATGGATCTGTTCCTAAAAATGTTTCTTTAAAAGATTTTAATTTATGCTTATTTTATTTTTTGCTAGCTGATCCTTTTTATAAGAGAATAGTAATAATGGAAAGCAAATTTGTTTAGATCCCAAATTACAGGGAGTGTTATATTATCTCAACCCGGAAAAAATTGTTAACAACAGGTACAGATTTTTTTTATGTATGTATTGAGTTACACAATACATTGTAATTTTGATAAACAACATTTTCATTAAGAAAAAAAATTGACTAATGTTTCCTTGAAAAACATGTTTATTAAAAAATATATTTGCCTGAAAGGTCTTTTTGTCTTGATTATTATTAGAAATCAGCACATAATTATTTTGTACAAACATTTTTAGAAATAATTTTGTTAATAATACTTTTGTTAATAATAATTTTGTTGATAACTACTTTGTGAACTCTGCTGTGGGAACAGTTTTACCAACTGTGATTGTTGTTATAATTTATGCTTCTTTCACATTCCTCATTTATGATTAGTATCGGGGAGACTAAATACCATAGGCATACACAAGTGGCAGATGATGATTATGATGTTCAATATCGATGAGGTTATGATGCCCACAGATGGAAAGATTTGAGACTATCCCCTATGGAGGAATGGTAGTAAGGTTGACATATGTTGCCGAAAAGGAAAAATTGGTTTCTTTGATTAGAGAGAAAACATTTACATTTATTGATGACTAGAAGGCTCTTATGGACTTTGTGAGTAAAAATGAAAAAAAAAATGATTTATGATTTTGATGATGAGGCGGGATAGATTATAAAAAGAAGAATAGTACAATGTAACTTTGAAAGAAAGATTAAAATATATTTGTACTTTATAACTGCTTCGAAGAATAGCCACCCAAAGTTGCTATATCAGTGAGATAGGCAGCGTAAACATTTAATAAGTAAAATAAATATCAGAAGGAACTTCTTCCTACCTTTTTTCTTTCCTTTCTATTTTACTTAATTTCTTTTCTTTTCTTGCATTTTTTATTTTATTTAATTTATTTTTTCTTCCTTCTTTTTATTAGTTTTAGTTTCTATCTTCTGTGTCTTTAAAATTTGTAGTAAAAGTTACAAACAAGAATATGATTGATTGATTAACTCTGGGCAGCTTACAAATTATTAAATATATTTGAAACATACTGGCATCAACAAATACCTAAGGACAGTACCATATGTCATTTCCCCCCAATATTATGGCTAACAGGAGATACTTATACTAGAGACTATATGTTAAGGCTCCAGAGGTAAATACTTCACATACTTTTCTGTTTCCTGAGTAGTGCTTGTGTGGAAGGGAGTTTATTCAGAAATAAGGGCAATGATTTTTTTTTCTATTTCTTAGTTCTTTTTGTGTTCAGAGAGAGCTAGTGAGTGGCCATTTCAGTGTATCTGATCCTTTGGTAAGGAGGAAATAAATGTAGGGCCTCTATAGGGACCATTCTGTAGTCATCTGTTGGGGAAACTCACTCAGATTCATTTTGGAGTTGGAATCAGCTGTACAGTTGAAGTTGCTTGAAGTTTATGTGGCCCAGTTATCTGGGAAGAATTCAAACCTGTCACCCATGAAGAAATGGACAGGATCCTGAGTATTATGAATTCATTCTCCTTTGTTGTAGATCCCTGACCTTCCTGACTGATCAAGTTCTCCCAAGAGTGACTGATACTTGGTTACAGATAATGCTGAATGTTTCAATGTGGATGTAGTTGTCACTCCTCCTTAAGAGACCATCATTGGGCCCTCTTCAGTGGAACCCCTTGTGGGCTCTATGATCTGTTATTGCTGACTGGAATTTTTGACATTATGTGTTTTCTTTGTTTTTATTGTATAATTTTTGTTTTGTTATATGTTGTTAGCTATGCAGAGTTGATATGGAAACAGGTAGCACAAACAATTTCATTGTCAGTTTTGAGTCTGGTTGTTGTACTTGTTATCATTAATTTGGTCTTCTTAATATTTAGTCCTATTTTTTTCCTTGTGTTTCTTGGCTTTAATTACAATTGCCTTTTTAGCTATGTGAGTAATGTCATCAGCATAGTACAGGTGATTGATGTTTCTTTCTCCAGTTTTAAAACCACACTCATCTTCTTCCAATCCAGCGTCCCTTGATATACTGTATATTCATTACTTGACTGCAAACCATATTGTGAGGCATAATTTTATGTGGGCTTACAAAATATGGTTTACATAAATTGTGGGTCAGTGTTATTCAGGAGCCTAACTTTACTTGAGAATTGGTTAATACCTTCCACTCAACCATAGTGATTTATTTGTTTTTGGCTCTTCCGTAACATAGAAATCCATCTACTGTGATTTAGCATTATACTGTATTTTAGATCTTGCTAACCAAGATTAAGCTTTTCTTCCATGTGCAACCAGATAACCTACCGTATCACATGAGATAGCAAAGTTATCAATCAACCATTCATTATTAGAAACTCATCCTTTAGCACATAGCATGTGCACCTATCTATAATGAAATTAAGATGGAATAAATTGAATTTCAACAACACACAGCTGATTTTAAAAAACTTTTATTTCAAAGAAGTAAACTTGTAAATGAACTGGGATGGCTGCCAAAACTATCTGTTCCACAAGAAAAGGATCATATATTTTTTTCATTCCATTCCCACCCCACTCCAGGGCAAGAATATTGTAAAATCTCCATTCCCTCCCCACTCCTGGGGGAAGGTTACTACAAAATCCCATTCTCTCCCCCCCACCCCACTAACCTACTTTCCAGCTCTGTTCTCCTGTGCAGGGCAACAAAAGAAGACCCAGCCAATCAGCTGGGTCTTGGGAGGCAGAGGATAGATGGAGGCGGGGCCAGTCAGAGGTGGTATTTGCCGGTTCTCCGAACTACTCAAAATTTCTGCTACCGTTTCTCCAGAACCTGCTGAACACCACCTCTGATGCAGGCTTCTTGTGGATAGTAAGAATATATTTTATGCAAGAAGAAGAAAGTGTTCTCTGTGGCAGCATACTTTCTTTGGAATAATCTCTTTCTCACAGGTATAATAATATGCTTTCGTCAAGCCAGCAGAAAACTAATATAAATTGCACTCCCCAAATGGCTGAATCCTACTCTGCCTCAGTGATGTTTTGATGTGGGACATCATAGCATCAGTAATTGATAGATTTCCCCCAGTTGCATCCCTCTCCACAACATCATTTTCCAGGATGAAATACGAGAACCAAATGCTGTCTTTTACAGGGCAGGCTTGGCTGACTGTGGGCAAATTCTGGGACAAAGGTTCCAGTTGCTTTTAAATTGCCTGAAAGACACATTACTGGTGTGGAGAACACAGGCATTAAGCTATTTCTGACCACAGCTCTAACACTTCTGAAAGTATTGGGCTATTCATTCAAATCCTTGGCCAAAGCTCTTTCTGAACTGCCAGTCAGCCATTACAACAGCAGACAAAATCCCATAAAAGGCATTGTCCAGGGATTGAGGGTTGGAGGAGGTATGTCCACATCAGCCTAAAGGAATTGGTAGGAACCAGGTAGATTCCAGTCTCTCCAACATCATCAACGAGGCATAACAGATCATTGAGGGGGGGGGGGGGTTGTATTTGGGAGGAGAGGGAAAATAATACTTGGAACAATAATTGGAACAACGAAATAAGTTTTTAAGCTGCCACCACAGAGAGATGAGATGCTGAAGGTAATAATTCTTTTCCTTATATCTTCCCTCCCAGCTTGTAAATGTTTTTATACAGACACTTTTAATTAATGTAACAATAAATGCTTTGCATTTTTATTTTGTATTATTTATTTCATTCAAAGTTTTGGTGATGGAGGACCTCATTCAAAGTTTCTTGAAGCAGCAAGGACCAGACTAGACAGTAGGATGATGCAAAGTATGTCAACTATGTCCAAATATATGAGTCAGTCTGGAATTATTCATTTTTTCCCTGAGTTTTTGGTAGAATTTGTGGAGGATTTCTTTCTTTCTTAGAACATTGGGTTAAACTTAAAATAGTGGGAAATGATCGATTTCTCACCAACAAGAGTAAGAAATAACCCTCTGCAGCATTTCAGATCTGAAGAGAAGTTGTTTTGGGAGTGCTCACGTTGAACCTGTCCTTGATGCATCCTATCCTGGTATCTCACAGCTGCCCTCCGTAGCTTATTTAAGGAAAAACGTATTTGGTTCAAGGAGTTTCTAACAAATGCTTTATATGCTCTGAAACAGTTTTTTCCCCCTTTTGGTCCAGAATGTTGCTGCACATGTTGCTATAAGGAAGAAAGGAGCTTACAGAACAGAGCAACTCAGTTTTATGGAAATAGTCTCGTGAAGCACTGTGCTTCTCCAAACCTGCAGACATTGCATTTCTCCAAACCTGAAGGCATGGTCTCAGGTTTTTGATAGGTCCTCCATTACCTGCACATTCATGTGTCTGCATAGATAACACAATCATTGAAGTATCCATGCAGGCAAAGACAAAGCTGCAGAATTAGAAACAAGATGAAAACAAGTCCTCAGTGAGAAGCATGCCCTATATGCCAGAAGAGAGGATTTAAGGTATGTGAAATCTTTTAGTCTTCCCCAATACTCCTCCCTCTTCAGTTTGGATGCCTGTGGCTTGTAGGGCTTGGGCAATTGACACATGAGGACATCCAAAGATAAGAGGGGAACAAGACTCCTGCTTTGGATAGTTGCCACACAGCTTTTATCTTGTCTAGGTGCTGGGCCAAAGGAACTTTTATTGGAATGTGATTTCACCCCGCCTGTCTAGGATGCATGTTGTTACTATATGGGACAATAGGTTGAACACTGTTATCATTACGGTGCTTCTTTCATTCTTTGAATGAGATCATCAGCTGGATGAAGACAAGCTGGCTGGAGCTAATCTCAGACAATGGGGGTGGGAGGAAGGCGGGAGAGAGGAGAGGGGGAATAATGACTATTTTTATGGCAAGTATCATTTTCACTAGACAGCCTCTATCCACTACTCAGCTCCAGCAATTCTGCATTCTCAAGATCCTCCTGGATTTGTCTTTGATTCTGCTACCTAATCAGTAACAGCTGCTAAAAGCATTTTCTGATTTTTGTGGCCAAACTTCAGTCTACCCTGGCAAGATGCAGAAGTGGTCACATTGAGGTCTGCCTTTATGATTTCCAGGACCGTTTAGCAGAAATGTGCCTTCCCTGGAAAGAAAACCATTGAAAGTGAAGAAGAATCACTTTGGCTGCAGCTAATTGGTTCTCTCCTTCACAGGCTTTGATTGAGACTGG